GTTGAAATGGGTAAATGGGTGGGTTCTTGTACTCATTCGATAGAAAAAATGGAGTACTAGCAAAATAGTTACGATTTTTGTCGACTGGTACGTTGGAATTGGCCAAAAATAGGGCTCAAAGTGGGCAAAATCGCCAGTGTGTAAACATGAAAACCGCCAACTTCACCAGAGCATAATTCCATAAGTTTTCCATCAAATTTCATACTTTTGGTCTCATTATGATAGGGAAAAATTCTCTATCATTCCATAAGATGTTTCCGACCCTCAGAACAAGTTTAGGAGAGGGCCTGCCGACCCCGAAAGGGTTAAATGTGCAGATCCAGGATGGCCTCAGTGATTGGGGTCTTGACATAACCTTCCAGGAAATTAACCCTTTGACTGTCACAACCCCCAATCCTGAGGTGTCTACTGGTGTCGCAAAATTTAAAAAAAAAAAAAAAAAAATCTTATGAAATGATAGAGAATCTTTTCCCGATTGTAATGACACCAAAAAAACGAAATTTGATGGAAAACTGATGGAATTATGCTCTCGCGAAGTTAGCGACCTCCGCGCTGTTTACAAATCGGCGATTTCGCCCACTTTGAGCCCTATTTTCGGCTAATTCCATTGTACCAGTCGCCCAAACTCATAGCTATTTCTTTAGAGCTCCATTTTTTCTATCGATTGAGTACAAGAAACTGCCCATTTACCAATTTCAACTACCTAATAATGTGGTCAGAAATTTGCAATTTGGCCAAATTTCACGAAAACTAAAAAATATGACAATTTCAAAATAAGGTCCAGAATGAACAATGCAGACATTCCTGGCTCTAAAATAACATTTTCTTTGCTCATCAGTCATGTCTCCAGGCCCCCTCTGATATTACTCTTGTTTTCTATTTTGAATTTTTATTCAAACAAAAAATAGAAGACTTACTACTATGCAGACTACTGCAATACTGTAATAATTGTATAAATAACATCAACCCATTCATGACTGCATATTAAAATGGCTATTTGGACATTTATTGGACAATGGCATCATTTGTTTACTTTTGAACATTGGCAAAAATCAAACATTTCTCCTACTTTGAGCTCCATTTCTGGGTTCTTTTTATAGTAAAATCAATAAAAATTCACCTCTATTTCTATAACATGTTTTCCATTCTATCAAATGAGACCAGGAAAACGAGAATACAACCATAAGTACTATACGAAAATAGACCACAAAGTCGGCATTTTAATTAAAAAAAACGGTCGGAGTTTTTTTTTCTCATTATGCACTGTGTGCTCCAGGATTCTTTTTATATGGTGCACACTGACCACACAGACTCATTCTCTCACATGTGGGCCTACCAGCTTTCTCCTGCTTGATTTGAAGCCGCTAGAATTTATGAGTATATATACGTCAAACACGGTACCTCGTAAGACGTATATATACGGCCGCGACAGTCAAAGGGTTAAATTCTTTACTGGTCCTCCTTATCTGGTCCTTGAGGTACATTTGTGTAAATGTATGGAGGAGAACCCTTAACCCATAAATAATGGACCTATATTAATTAAGCATGATGTCCATCATTCATACAAAATTAAGGCCTCCATGGAAACAGTAAGAAATAACACTTTCAAATTATACAGAGTTTTGAAGTGTGCTACCTGTTTGAGGAGTATTGCATAGTCTTACACATCTAAATACACAGTGCATCATTCAGTAATGCACTTGAAATAGTTGAAGTGAATGGATTAAGAAGGCAAACTTCTCTTTGTAGTTAAAATCTTGCTAATTCAGCTACATTTGTGATTGTTTGTTCATTGGCAATCATTCAGAGCTTCTCTCCTGAAACTTTTATGCATACCTATCAAAAAATACAGGAATGACACTGGTTATTTTTTATTCTACAGACTTTGAAGTTCAATAAACACTATGAATACATTGGTTATCATATAAACAGTTTCACTATGTAATAGTCCACATAATTTAATAGTAAAAATTAATTGACATGCCTGTGACACAATACTGGTAGTCATTTACATGAATCTGTTAAATTTACAATTTAACTTGTATGTGATTTGCTTTTCTTCACAAAACATTATTTATTTTGTATATAGCACAACTGGTTTCATTGTCACTCCTCCCTAAAATACTAGTAGACAGTATTATTAGTTTTATGTTGCCTCTAAAATGCTTCCTATCCCCATGACTACCATAATGTTACTAGACACATGTTATATCAAAAAAAATTATTGGACATAAATTAGGAGCATAGCTAAAATGCTGTCCTGATGCATATTAAATTTGGGAGGTTGAAATCTCCAAGGAGGCTAATACTTGGTGTAAGATCCTTAGATAAACATCCATTGATATTCTTTATCAGTTCAGTGATTTCATCTGCCGTTGACACTGGTAGCTTGTGCCAGAGGGTAGGGTAATTACACAGTGCTTTTACCATGTTTTGTTTTCTGCATTTACATCAAGTATTCCTGAGGAAGGGTTGTTGAGGTGGTTCGGACATGTAGAGAGAATGGAGCGAAACAGAATGACTTCAAGAGTGTATCAGTCTGTAGTGGAAGGAAGGCGGGGTAGGGGTCGGCCTAGGAAGGGTTGGAGGGAGGGGGTAAAGGAGGTTTTGTGTGCGAGGGGCTTGGACTTCCAGCAGGCATGCGTGAGCGTGTTTGATAGGAGTGAATGGAGACAAATGGTTTTTAATACTTGACGTGCTGTTGGAGTGTGAGCAAAGTAACATTTATGAAGGGATTCAGGGAAACCGGCAGGCCGGACTTGAGTCCTGGAGATGGGAAGTACAGTGCCTGCACTCTGAAGGAGGGGTGTTAATGTTGCAGTTTAAAAACTGTAGTGTAAAGCACCCTTCTGGCAAGACAGTGATGGAGTGAATGATGGTGAAAGTTTTTCTTTTTCGGGCCACCCTGCCTTGGTGGGAATCGGCCGGTGTGATAATAAATAAAAAAAATATATTTCTGCCATACCATTAATAATTTTTTTACAGTTCTCTGCAAATAAACAGGTTATTAAATTAGTCACCAGAAGATCGTGTAAATGAAATCTGGGGAAGCTTGTGTTATGCACTAGCAAACTACAGTGTAAATAGATTTAAACTATAAGGATGGAAGAATGTTATGAAAGTTATTTACAACATGTGTAATGACAAAGTTGGAATATGTAGTAACTGTGTGGTTCCCACACCACAAAAAAAGTGCAGTCAGAAAGGTCCAAAAAGGGTTGTGAAATGCCTGTTAGAACTGAAAAATATGGGTTATGATGAAAGGTTGTTAACACTAAAGATGCCCATCTGTCTGATAAAAGGAATTGAGGAGTTGTGATAACCACATACATGATTATAAAAAATAGGAAACAATTGACAAAGATTTTCCTACAGGAAGAAGAGGTCATAGCTAGAAACTAAGAAAGATGGAGTGCTAGTCAGATATTAAAAAGTTAAGTTACCAGAGGAGGAAGATGGAGTATGAACATAGCTCTCTTTATTTTAGCTACAGATGGGTACACACACCCTAGTCTTTTGTTTGGTCTATAGACAGCACCCCTTAGGGAAGTACTACCACATTGTCATAGGAGTATGGAACAGAAGTCTGTTAGGTGCTTTGCAATGGCATAATTACTGGTCATTTCTTACCTCTTTAATGCTTAGTACCGACTTTCAGTATACATTTACCCTTGTTATCCTGTGTGCCATATATTTTATAGTATTTATCCTGTGGGTTACCATTGTTTCCCTTTTGGAAATGGGTTAGAATTATTCTTTCATAAGCCATGTGTCTTGTGCAAGACAAGTACAGTGGACCCCGCTTAACGATCACCTCCCAATGCGACCAATTATGTAAGTGTATTTATGTAAGTGCGTTTGTACGTGTATGTTTGGGGATCTGAAATGGACTAATCTACTTCACAATATTCCTTATGGGAACAAATTCGGTCAGTACTGGCACCTGAACATACTTCTGGAGTGAAAAAATATTGTTAACCGGGGGTCCACTGTATTTGTATGGTTATCAATATATTGAAGGTGCTACCCAAGGGGTACCAGGGTTGTTTCAATGACATTTCTGTCAAGTTAATTTTTCTAAGTTTGGTTTAATTTGGCGCAGCATCATTGATACAGTTATAGAACCCTGTAATAACCTTTTTTGTATTATTTAAATAAGAATTCTATTCAAGTTTTTGTAATGTCATAGGGTTTTCATCTGTATGCCAATGAGCAGCTTGTTGGAATTTGACAGTATATAATCGCTGAATAGCTCTCATATCTAGTTTAACATTTATTATTATTGAACTCTGAAGGTATACAATATCTATATGCTTGAATTATGTATTTCAGGATATACCAGTGCATTATTGTAGAAATTAAGTATTATATATGTAGTATATCCCCCATTCCTCTTTCTGCCTCCCTGTTTCCTTCCCTTCTTCCTATCCACCCTTGCCTCTCTATTTCCTTCTTCCTCCCCTTTTCCCCAAATTACCCCCGGCCTTCCTCAGACTTTTTCCTTTTTCCCTCCTTCCCCCTCTCTTCCTCCCTGCTTTCTTCCCTTCCTCTTCTCCCTCCCACTCTAATCCCTCATCCTCACACTCCTGCCTCCCTTTTTCATCTCACCTTCCTTTATCCTCCCCCTAACTCCTGCCCTTTTTCATTCCCCTCTCTCTTTATATTCTTTCATTGTTTCTGTATTTCTGTTTCCCCTTGTAACCATTATCTTCCACACTCATTCTCCATCTCCTTTTCTCCTTTTCCCCTTTTCTCCTTTTCCCTTTTTCTCCTCAACTCCCCTCTGCCTCTCTCTACTTCCTCACTTTCCTTCATTCCTTCCTTTTTCTCTCACTTCTTATAAATTTCCTTCCCCCACTTATCCTATGTACAGTTTTTATTTCCCCTCTTCATTTGTCATAACACCATTGCCAATTTCATCTTGTTCAGCTTGGCAATAGCATTTCTGTAATTATTACATATAAATTTTAAATATTTATGTAAAGTGTCTCTTTCTACAGCCCATCCGTGAATAATGATGAGCAGGTCAAACCTCGATCATTACGCTTTACATGGAGCATGAAAACTACATCATCACGTGACCCCAATGACATCATGGCCGAGATTCGCAAGGTAGACCACCCCCAGCACCATGAATAGCGACGACAAGTAATCCCACCCGCTGCATGTCCTGCTTAACACACTGTCTTCATGCTAGCAGCTATCTCCCTCGGTGCCCCTCACTCCCTATTCCCCAGTACCATGCTACTCTTGCAATTACAAACACACCACATTTCTCTCGACACCAAACCATTACTCTAAAAAACAACTTTGACAGTTTTCCTTCACACCTACCTCTTTCCGGCTCCTCCTCCAACACATCCCAGAGCAAAGATGTCTTACATAACATAAACATCCATTACAACTCCTCAAAGTACTTGGGTCTGTGTGTGCACATCCATGTCATTAAACTAGGTACCACAGCAGAATATCTGAACTGTGGATGCTTGTAGACAGTTTATAAATGTCATGCCAGATTTTTATCCAATTTAAGTTTGATTTCCCCCTCCCCTTTAATAATTTAGGTTATTGGAGCATTTGATAAAATGAGATATATTTTCATTTATTTGATTAATCTTATTATTATAATTATTATTGGTTTTATTCCCTAGTTTGTCCCCCTCCCAGATGATATCAGCTTTTTACCCTTTCTTTCATTTTTTTAATTGAAAATTTTTAACACCATTTCTTTTAAAGTGACTTCTCAGATCTTTATTTTCATTTTAGTCATGCTTCTAAGCAAAAAAAAAAAAAAAAGCAGGTCATCAGATGGGTATTATACTGGTACCAGACTGGAATAGTTTGACAAAAATTTTTAATCTTGTTATCACATTTTTTTTATCATTACATTTGCATGGATTCTATATTTTCCTGTTAAGGTACTGTCATGTAATTCAAGGGCCCTGATATTAGGTCTTGTTACTTTGCATGTAACTTTGTAGCAGAAAGTCCCAGTTACAGTGTTTTTGTGGTTTTTTAATAGTCTGGAAGTAGAGAGATAGCTTCTGTATCAGGACAGTGTCTTGTATTGTAATGTAAGTGTGAGTTCAGAATGTGCATTTTAGAATTGTTGCAAAGCTGCTCCTTGCATCGAAATTGATTTGATTTTATTTGAATTATATTTCAATGTAGCATGGGAAAGTTAGAACTAGCAGAAAGTAAAGCTTTTCTTCAGAACTAATCTCTCGTTCTGGTACTCTCTATTTTGTTTCAGGTTTTAGATGCAAACAACTGTGATTATGAGCAGCGAGAAAAGTTCTTGCTTCTTTGTGTCCACGGGGACCCTAATACAGACTCCTTAGTACAATGGGAGATTGAGGTAGGTCATTCAAAGTAATTTCCTCTTTGCACTGTAATCTTTACAAAACATGGAGTAATAATTTTAAAGATTATTAGTGAGCAAGACTAAAAATTAATGACAGTTCAGTTAAATCAAATACACAATCACATGAAAACACAGAATTTCAGTTGTAGAGCCTTCAGTACACATCACTTCACCAAGGGTGCAACCACAATAAAATCATTTTATAAAAAGAGCAAGATCAAAATTAAAAAATTAAGGTGATACTAAAGAGAATTATAAGGAAATGTAAATAATAGTTGTTGTTTAATATTTAGTAGAGTATTGATGTGAAAACCAAAGCACTAGTCACTGTGTCAAGCATACCATAAGTGATATACACAGGGAGGTGTTTACAATGCAAATTATCAGTTTTATAAGGATAATCCATTTATGCAGAGTAATATAAATGGCATGAAGATCAAAATTTGTGTCTTTCTTGCAGGTTTGTAAACTGCCTAGACTTAGCTTGAATTTGGGGTTCGGTTCAAGAGGATATCAGGAACTTCTATTGGTTTTAAGAATATTGCCAGCAAGATTGCAAATAAAATTGAAACTGTGACTACAAGGAGAATTTGAATTAGGAGTTCTTTTGTAGAAGTACCAGTAGGACATAACACAGCTTGATGTTAGTCCTAAATTACAGGTTAAAAAAATGGGGGTGCCTGACCCTGATGTTTTGGGGTCACACGATTTTGTAAAAAAAAAAAGATTCAGGGAGTCAAAAACATATTCCGAAACGTGCCTAACACCCCATCAAAGTTGCATATGTTTTAAAATATTGTTATAGAAAGCAAATAAGTTTGTAAAAAAAGTTTTTTAAAAGAGACAAAGGCAACCAAACAAGTTTTCGGAGGTGTTTTCATTATGCATTTTCGTGGGTTTTGACCTGGACTTTAGTATCAGGCCCCCTATAAAGCTCACCTGAAACTTCTTAATTAACAAGCTCACTCCCGGAAGCACTCATTCTTGAGTTGCACGGGCCTCTCCTGAAGCACCTTCGGCTTGTTGGCTTCCTATCCTCACTCTCCAAAGCATACCATGGACCCCCCTCGCTGCTCGAAATCCAGTTGCCTTTCAGGAATATATGATGACCACAGTACTATTGTTTATATTTATAGACACAAGCGTCTTAAACTCTCCTGACCAGTGAAAAACTTTTTATCAGTGTATCTGTTTCTCTGTCATCATCAGGAGCAGATTTCTGGTACCATTATATAGTGTGATAAATGAAAGAAAAAGTCTGGTGTAGAAGATAATTTTAATGAACTTGAAACAAAGTGTTTTTAGTACTTACCCCCTTCCACCAGCACTGGCCCGAGTAGTGCGGTTGTGTAGTTGACGTGTTGGTGGGAATGTAAATGGGCTTCACAAAAATAAAATAAACGTAGTGGACTTGTTAAAGCGTGAGGCAAACCCCACCATATCATATTTCCATACATGTGAGCCACACATCATGTGTAATGATAAACATCCTTACGTGTTTGCCTCACCAGCTAACCAGAAGAATAGTTCCAAAGGAACAGTTAACCTTGTTTTCTTTTTGTAAATATTTTGGCTATAGGAATGCAAAATTACAGTTGCCCAGTTTTTTTTATATATTACCTATAGGATGAATGAGGTGATTTAAATATTGATAGTACAGTATTGTAAAGAATTGGTCACATAGCTGACTGAGAACATAACCCCGATCCTGGTTTAAAAAAAAAAGCGTGCAACGGTAGCATGAGCAAGCTTTATCCCTTTGCCCCATGCCCTTGTGTAGAAACCAAGACTGGGACTTCACT